AAAGTGTGCCTTAGAAAAAGGGCCTAAGTAAATGCTCTTGGTAAGATATTTCAGGCCAGGCAGGCAAGGATAGTAGAAAAATGAAATGACCAGTCAGCCAACACCGAAGTAACAATTAAAAGTGAATAAACACTCATCCTAATCTTGGCATTCTATATAGATCATGAAGATCTTGCTGTCCCCTCAGGAGAAAGAATATACACAGCCACAAAGGGACAGACCACAGCAACAACAGCCAAGTGGAATGGGAACCATTTTGGTCTAGTGAGTACTTAAAAAGAAAGGGCTTCTGGTTTCTCTCTTTTGTTCTCCTCCCACTCCATTTCATATTCTTGGACAACATATTCAGTCAAGCACAAGGAAAGGGACAATGTCAAAGTTGGTAGCTCCTATTCTTACTTCTGAAGCAGGGCACATTGAGGGGGAGGCTTTAGTTGTATATATAGCCAGATCCAGTTCAGGCCCTCTGAGCTAGTGTGAGACACATCTTTGAGGGCAAAAACCTTGCAGGACCAAGGCCTTTGGATTCCACCCTATAGCCAAGTTAGAGCGAGCATTTGGTGCCAGTTGGTGTTCACAGACACCAAGCCTGAGGGAGAATAGTAAGTGCTGTCAAGTTCTTCTACCTACCATACGGAGCAGAGCTGCTGGTCCTTTGCCTTGCCCAAGCTTTTTTCTAGAGCTTCATGTATCACAGGAGCTTATGCTACATCTCACGAATGAACTCAATGTAAATAATAATATAAGACTCACACAGTAGTCACAGTATCCTAACAAGTCTCAAAAGTAAGTCAAATACAGGAAAATACTTCAAGTACTGGGTTGATTAAAAAGTTATTTTTAATAACCTCAACTCTAATTCATTTGATCTATATACACTTTTATACAGAACCATAACTAGAAAGATTTTATACCATGGAAGCGAGTGACACAAAAATACAGACTGAATTTATTTTCTTTCTTTATTCCTTTCTTTCTTTCTATTCCTTCCTTCTCTTCTTCCATCTGTCCCTCCTTCCCTCCTTTTTCCTTCCCTTCCTCCCTCTTTCCTTCCCTTTTCTCTCCCTCCCCCCTCTTCCCTCTCACCTTCCTTCCTTCTTTCTGGCAAAAGAGATCTGGGAACACCAGTTTGAGGGTGATGACAGTGAAACTACAGTGTATTTCTGACAACTGGTAGCTTCCTAATATATTAACTAATTACGTTTGTTAATTAGATGGTAAGCTCTGTTGTATCTATTCTGCTAAAGAAGTGCCATCAATGCACTCTCAATTTGGTACTCCTGCTAAAAAGCACTTATCACCCCACCCAAGTTATGGCTCCACTTTTAGGCAATAAATATGAAACATAACTCAAAGAATCACAAAGTCTGAAAAATCAGTATTTTTTCCATTGCATCACATAATAATAATTTTCCATGTAACAATTCTGAGGCACAAACATATCCCCAAATTTCTTCCCCAATCAAAAAAGAAATTATATTCAGAAAACTTTTAAGGCAAAGTATACTTTAGAATATTCTAATTCTCTAAAAGTTAGAAATGCATGCCTGTGGCTTATGATAAATTAATATCATGGACAAGTAAGAATTAGCTCTTAATACCCCATTTCCCATTTTTTCAAGAAAACTGGGAGTTTACTGAACTTATTGCTTTAAAGAATTTAAGGGTGAAATACATATTTACATAGATACAGTGCCTTACAAATGCAAGCATGACATATAAGTTAACCATCTTATCATAGAATCATAAATTTAGAATTAGAGATTTTCTTGCCCAACCCTCTCATTTTGCAGAAAGGGAAAAAGGAAAGTTAAGTTACTTGACCAAGGTCAAACAGCTAAGGCACAGAACTGGGATTTGAAATCAAGCCCTTGGAATCCAGATTCACGGTTCTATTGATTGCACCACGATGCTTCCCCTTGGAATTTAAATGAGACAAGATAACAATAGCTAACGTGTTTGTGACATTTTACAGTTTGCAAAGTGCTTTGAAAATATCATCCCAATTTAGCCTCATAATAACCCTGGCCAGTAGGTGCTATTACTACCCCTATTTTACAGACGAGGAAATTTAAGACCATTATTTTTAAATAGTTATTAATGATTAATGGGGAAACAATAAAGTAAAATAATCTGCCAATTTGAGATTAGATTCTCAAACTTACTCTCATTTCTTAAGATAGGCAGAAATGGTCTAACTTGCCCTCTGAAGCCTGACTTCTTAACAGTCCAAAAAATTAAGGGATCTATAATGATTCCAATTATTCTATTCTTCTGATGAACCAACAAAGTACAACCTACGGGTTTTTCATATCCTTCTAGAACCAAACATTATAAATATCACTGTTATGTTGTCGTTATTTAAGCCACTTACAAACTGAAAAGAAAGACATGTTTTAAAGTTGGGATGTGCTGCCATTTTGGCAATTTCAGCCTAATAACTATTTAGTTTTAATGTCATTGCTCAGCATGGCTCATCCTCTGTGATCCTGTCAGACCTAAGCAAGTCTAGGCTATACCAAGAACAAGATACGTGACCAAAGAAGAACAGAGAGCTATGGAATGGGGGTTAACTATTTAAGAGAGGCCACCTTCTCCTGTCAATCTGGACTGATCTCCTGGCCAGGGATGGAGGGAGAAGTTTTGTGTGCAGGGTGCTGTCACGATTCCATTAAGTCAAGAAAGAAGTGGTCTGGTGAGATGTGGTCTTTAATGATCCCAACTTGTAAAAAATGCTGTGGAAACTAACATCTCAACAACTGGTCAAATTCAAAGGTAAGCCTGTGTTTCATTACCAAAGCTTTATGTCTTGGGAACTTAAATTGGTTCTGCCTACATGTTTTTCACATCTCTTTTTTTTTTTATAGGCTTGCAGCCAGAGACAATTTTATTTGAACCTCAGAGACTAGTTAAGAAGTCTGATAAATCACATTAATAAGCCTGGATCCGTCAAGAGAACACTGGCCTCAAAGTTAAGAGACCTGGATTCTAGTCTCAGTGTTGTCATTAACTAGCTGTGCAATTGTGCGTAAGTGACTTTGCCTCTTGGGAACCATTTTCTCAACTGCAAAATGAGAAGGTTCTCACACATAACAGCCAAGGTCCCTTGTGGCTGTGCCATGTGATGAATATATAAACTGGTCTTTGTAGGACGAATACATTGAAATGAAATGGAATGTAGCCTTACTAGCCAACAAACAGGGAAAGATAGAGTTCTCCTCAAAGGGAAACCCAATGGAAGAAACAGTGGATACAAAATACATCTCTTTTAGAGAAAGTTTTCCCCAACTTTACTCCATCCTGTAAAGGATGATTTGAGATGATGATGGAAAAGGTGCTGAAGTGACACAAGTTTCAACTAAACACTCTTGCCCTCTCACTTCCAAACTGTAAAGTGTTTAGACCAGTTGGTCCAAACCAAAGCTGAACAAAAAAATCCCCTCTCCAACATAGTGGATGACTATCTGGGCTTTGTTGACTTCTAGTGAGATGTAAGTCCACTGCCGCCAGAGCCAGATTTTCCATTTTTAACCAGCACTAATTGTTAAGAATTTCTTCCTGCTGTCAAAGCTAAATTTGCTTCTGTGTAGCTTCCATTGTTCATTCCTAGATCTGCCCACTGGGGTTGAACAGAAAAGTCTACATACTCCTTCCCTACAATACCCCTTCAGATACTTAAACTCAGCACTCATGCTCCTCCAAAGTTTTCTCTTCCCTAGGTTAGACATTCACAAGACCATTAATTATCCATCAGGCACCATATCAAGGCAGCCATTTTCAATGCCCTCCTCTGGATGCTAACTTAAAGACACCCTTCTTAAATCGATGTCCAAAACTAAACAGTACTCCAGATATGGTAGGACCAAGTTGACACACAATGAGGTTATCACCGTCTTCTTCCTAGATTATTATGTCTCTCTTATAAACTTACATTAGCTGTTTTGGTGACATCATTTCACATGCTGATTCACTAAGTTTGCAGTCTACTAAAATCTTTAGACCTTTTCCAGGTAAACTGCTATCTACCCATAGATCCTCCAGCAGATATGTGTAAAGCTGACTAAGCAATTATTGCTATTACTCTTCAAATAAAAATTCCTTAAATGGGAAAGAAGACGTTTACATTGAGGAAACATTCTGTCCTTCCCTATCTGCCCATTCTGCAAAGATCAACCCACAGATCCACAGAAGATCAGAGTTCGTAGAGAACTCAGAAAACTTAAATTCCTCAAGTGTGAGCTACTATTACTCAAATTCCTCTTTTTGCTGCCTCCCTCTTTATTCTCTTCTCTGTACATTAATGCCACTCTCCTCAAAAACAGGACTATGTTGACTTGGTACTTGCTATAAAATTTTGCTCTTGAGCAGCCCAAGAAGTCCAAGAGATCAATTTAACTGACAGGCATTTAAGTTTTCTTTATTCCAAAGAAAAATACTCATTGTATTTTTAATATTATTGCAGAATTCACAAACATAACACGAATTCAAGATCCATCTACATTTGACATTTCAAAAGCTGTTAAGAAAACAAGTATATCTTTAAATAAAATTTTTAAATAATTTATTCTCATTTAGATTTTGTACATTACTTTAATAGGATACTCTTTTAAATACTTCTAAGATCATCATTGTATTGGTATGGGTAATCATTCCACTGACACAGACAACAACTTCTTTATAGGTTAAAAGAAAAAAAAAATCATCTGGAAGCCAAACCTGTCCTTGAAGAACACACACAGAGCCATCATAAGGCCTAGACTCAAGGCCTTTCTGGCCTGGAAAGACCCACAATGACTTGGGATCCAACGGTGAAATCTTTAAGAACACACTGTCACCTCTGTACTACAACGCGGTACCAGAGGAAGAGACGTCAGTATGGATTTGATATGATATCACGACTCGTGTGTATTAATAATACATTATATTTGGAAAGGCATGGCAAGCTGTAACTTACAGAAACATGCAATCAGATACTTCAGGAGTAAGCATACATTACTTACTACTTATATGTTTCAGAACGGATGTATTCAAAGACATGGGACACTCCGAGCTGGAACTGGTCAGCAATTGGGGTAACCCAGGGATTATTCTCTGCTTTGAAGACCTGCTTTTGACCAGTTAAATCCAAGTTTCCTGAAAGGATTGAAATGAAAATAGTATTGAATTAATCTTGTCTGGAGTGCGCCATCCAGATACCCTAATGCCATCCTGAGCAAGATCAGTGCCAAATCAGTGTTTTCATTTATTTACGCATTTAATTGTTTTTCTTATCAGAATATGCAGATTTTCTACATGCAAATCTCTCCCTTTGGCACCCAGGAAATATAATCATCTCTACAGCAAGCAGAGATCACAAGCTATTTAGTGCTAGTATACAAATTACTTCCCTCTAATACACTAAGTGAATGCCTAATTAATGCTAACTTTCTCTTTCCAATGACTGCAAAGTTAACATTATTTTTCCAGTTTGTTGGTTCTTGGTCTATGGTGATTTGTACAAGGTCACGGGCAGGAATGACACCAGAGCTGCTCAGGGTCCTAACTTCTGGGCCTGAGAGGGTGATTTGTCATCACATTACCTGCTCACCTTAGATTAAAGGGCGTACTTCCACCTTTTTTTGTTTTTTCATCCAAAGTAAGGTGAGGGGATGATGGATAAGAGGAATTGTGCAGATTCATTACAGAAACAAAGCAATAGTCTGAGCAGCAAACAGTAACAGTTCTGCAGTAAATATGCCACCAGCTGACATCTTCTGAGAGTACATTTACACCTCCATTAGCCTCACAATGTACAGATGTGTTAAGTACAGCACATGGTGTATATATATATATATATATATATATATATATATATATACATATATATATATATTACATACATATACATACATATATATGTTTGTGTGTGTGTGTGTGTATGTATAGATACATATATATATATATATATATATATATGGGGGGGAGAGAGAGAGAGAGAGAGAGAGAGTCTGGTAATGTGTCTTACATTCTGTCAGGTTAGCAGTTCAGGTCTGATGCTGGATGCGTCTAGGCCCTTATTTAACAGAGATGTCTTCACAACTCAATGACACTTCTAAAAGCTAGTATTTGGTGGAGATGCCTGGCTATTCTAGGCTGCTAGTCAACTGACTGAATCTTTTCTAGGTGCAAAGTCAGTATGCATAAATGTCTCCGCTACCATTTGGGAGGCTGAGAGAAAAGTTAGACAGCAGGAAAGTATGTGGCTTCATCTGTGTGTAGAATGAAGATACTTATCTTTGCAGGACCTTCCTCTCTAAGTGTCTTTAGGGCAGTCCTTTTCCTGAGGCCTGGCTCATCGAAGGTCCAAAGCTACCAGAGGATATCCACACTGCCTTGCTAATCTTCTCAAGAAAGACTGTGCTAAGGCTCTATTACTGACCTTGGTTGTAACTCTTAGCCTGGCACATGGAATTTCATCCTTGTATGGAAGTATATTGCTAACCTTCACCCCTATGATTGGTACTTTGAAAATGAAAATGGTAGCTTAAAATATTTACTAGAAAGAATGTGCAGGGTATTTTTCCATAAAATTAAGGAATCAAGGTTTCCAAAGGCTATTTTTGCTGTATGACTATACTTGCTATACATGTATGCCTATAAAGAACACCAGAAAGGAAAGAAAGACAAATACACAACTGAAAACTACTGCATATAAAGTTTTTAGATTAAAAACATGTTGAATCCCATTCAACAAATATGTATAAAGTATAATGCATGGCAATAAAGGTGTGCTGGTTGTTAAGAGGGGTCTAAAATTTAGATAATGTGTGAGTGACTCCCATCCTCATGGAGTTTACAGCATAGTAGTATACAACACAATGTAATTTCCTTGAGGGCGGGGACTTTTAATTTCTGTTTTGTTATCATCGATGCCTAGCTATAAAACAAGATTTGTTCAACCAATGAAAATTTGAATGAATGAATGGACGGAATAAGACATAAACACAAATAACCAAAATACATACAATAACTTGATAAGTACATTAGTACAAGGCAACGTGAGGTGTCTCTGAGATCCCAGAGTAAAAGTCATTACTGCATGGGGGTGGAGTGGATCAAGGAAGAATTTCTAAAAGTAGCTGTGTATGAGTAAGAATTCAATTAAGCAAAGAAGACATTTCAGGTTGTGGGAACAAGATGAACAAAAACACAATTTCCATGAGATTACAGGGTATGTTCAGGGGCAGAAAATACTCCAGAGTGGCTAAATTATGAAAAGTGTAATAAAGAATAAAAAGAAATAAAACAGGAAGAGTGTGATTTGAATGCCAGGAAGAAAAACTTCAAACTTTACTTCACAGACAAGACAGATTCACAGAAGATTTTTGAGGAGAGGAGTGATACAACCAGATTTGTGGATTTTTCCTTTTTAAAAAAATTCTATTTTTCAATTAGCTAGCATTTATTTTCTCTCCTTTCCACCTTCCCCTACCATTTTTTAAAGAAAAAATTTTTAAGTTTTTACACAAACAAATTTAATGTAATAAAATCTAATGCAAATTAGAAGAGAAATAGGTAATTGGGGGGAGGGAATCTTTGCACTAAGTTTCTCTGAGAAAAGTCTTATAGCCAAGATATTAAAATGTATAAGACTAAGCCATTCCCCAATAGAAAAACGGTCAAAGATATGAACAGGTAAAGGAAGAAATCCAAGTTATCAACAATCATATGGAAAAAATGTTCTAAATCCTCCAATAATTAGAAAAATACAAATCAAAACAACTACGAGGTTTCCCATTACATCTATTGGACTGTCAAGGATGACAAATGAGGAAATGACAAATGTCAGAAGGACTATGGGAAAACATTGTTGGTGAAGCTGTGAATTGGTCTAGCCATTCTGGAAAGCAATCTGGAACTATTCTCAAAAAGCTGCCAAACTGTTCAAAAGGTATGAACCAGCTATACCACAAAGCATAAATCCCCAAAGAAATCAAAGAAAGAAGAAAAAGATTTTTATGTAGAAAAATATTTATAAGTAGCTTTTTTCATAATAGATAAAAACTGGAAACTACAGGATTGTCTTATTAGGGAATGGTTAAATAAATTGTAGTATCTGAATGTAAAGGAATGTTATTATGCCACAAGAAATGATGAAATGGACATTTCCAGGAAGTTGGGAGGCCACTATGAAATGATGCAGAATAAGAGAATAATTTATAAAATGATAACATTATAGAGAAAAAAATCTTTGAAAGACTCTGGAACTCTGATCAATGCAATGATAAAACACGGATCCAAAAGAATGAATATGAAACATGCCACTCACTTCCTGACAAAGAGGTGATGAACTCAAAATGCTGAGACATACATTTTCGGATACAATTTTTTAGAGTTTCTTTTGTTGAACCATGCAGCTGTGTTCTGATGGATTTTTTTCCCCCTTCAATAAGGGTAGGAGATCAGGAAGGGTATAGTGGAATGAACAGATTAAAAGTTTAAAAGTAACAAAAAGATAAAAACAAAAGGCAGCAATAATGTTTTTTTTTAAAAACTAAACATTCATTTTCTTTCTCTCCTACCCTCTCCCTACCATTTAAAAGAAAAAAAGAAAAACAAAAGTCTTGTAATAAGCATTGGTAGTCAAGCAAAAAAAAAAATTCCCATACCATCTATATGCAAAAATATGTCTCATTCCTTATCTTCAATCCACCATCTCTCTATTAGGAAATGGATAGCAGAGGCCATTAGTAGTCTCCTGCAATCAAAGCTGGTCATTTCATTTATCAGAGATCTTAAGTCTTTCAAAGTTGGTTGTCTTTACAGTGTTGTTACTGTATAAAGTACTGTCTTGATTCTGCTCACCTCACTCTGTATTAGTTCACCCAAGTTTTCTTCCATTTCTCTGAAACCATCTCTTTCATCATTTCTTTTTTGTCTTTTCTCCCCATTTTTTGCTTTTTTGGTGAGGCAATCAGGGTTAAGTCACAGGGTCACACAGCTAGTAAGTGTCAAGCGTCTGAAGCCAGATTTGAACTCAGGTCTTTTCATCATTTCTTTTAGCACAACAGTGTTACATTACATTCCATACTTTTTTTTTTAGCTATTCCCCAATAGATGGAAACTCTCTTTATACTACAAAAAGTTTCTCTAAATATTTTTGTATATATGGATCCTTTTCTTCTTTCTTTGGACAATTATGAATATTCTAAAACTCTAGTAAATCTTAATAATCCAAGCCTCCCAACAATGCAGATCATAAGCCACCTATGCCTACCTGTCCCATGTAACATTTGTATATGTCTTTCCATATGTTTGCCATAGGAGGCACCCAATGTGTTAAGAATCTGGAGAGAAAGCCTGTCCCCCCAAAACTCCAAAAAACAGAATGAGACAAATCCAAGAGACATGATGACATAATCTTGGTAAAGCAAAGATAATGCCATGGTTATGAACATGAGAAAAAAAAAAGAATGGTGGTACCAGGGACAGAAAACAGTGATGTCAGCATGAAAAGGGGTCACATCTACATAAAGATGTTTTGTCAGCACTTAAAGATGTGGTTCTGGAGTTCAGAAGAAAAGTCAGGTATCAGGACATTAAGAAGGAACAAACTGTCATGAAAAAATGATCACGCTGTATCTTGTCCATTACTAAGCAGCTGTTGATTTTAGTTCTGAACAGTATTATCAATTTCCTTATCTTGATGGCTAAACATCATAATTAAATCATCAAGTTCCAATTTACTAATTCATGAGTCAGAGAGTGGAATCTGGAGTTCACAGATTTTCTGCTTGGCTGCGCTGTTCTTGGTTTTGATCTTAAAGGCATGGGGCTAAAGTTAGGATCCAGCCTAAAATTCTACTACCATTCTGAAACCCTTTTGGAGCATGAGACTGTCTACCCATAAAAGAGAGCATCTCAAACTTTTAGGATCTGTCCACATTTTAGGATCTTGTCTCAGTTCAACTGTTTACACTGTTTAATTATTTCCCTCCCTGCTTCCTTCTTTCCTAGGTCACCACTGGACCCAGATGTCTCTGGAGGAGAAAGTGAGGCTGGTGACTTTGCACAGTCCTCTCTTACTCAAATCAAATTCAACTGCAAGTCATGTCATCATCTCCCTGATGTCACGGTCCTCTTCGTGAATGAAG